GAAGGGGGTGGGGGAGGGAAAAATAGTCGACGTGAATGACCGCCGGTCAGTTCTATAAACCACGAGCCGCCACTGAGAAGGAATAATAATGAGATCGGCTAAACAAGTAAAAAATTAATATGAAAATCTATATTATTTAGATCTAGATCTAGATCCGTTTGTCTACAATTAATTAATGTATGTGTTTCCTTCCAATCGCCCCACTTTTGAACATAATAATACTTTCTTATATATTGTTATTCATTTATGTAACTGTCTCTGTCTCCCGCCTCTGCCGCCTCAGTTTGAATGCTGCGGAATAGACAGCTACAGCGACCTCGACACAGCCTCCAGCTGGCCCACATCTATCACTTACGCTGGCAGTGCCGCCACTTTGACCGCGCCCATCTTCTGCTGCAAGCTGAACGGCACCTACCCGAGCATGACCCTTCCTGCCAGCGCCACCTGTGCTGAGTCACCGACTTCGTCAATCTCCAACTACGAGAGCGTGAGTCGGGCGTCTTCTTGTTGAACATTTTTTTTTTATTTATTAAAAAATGGTATGGGTTTAACGCCCCTATCAACACTATTAGGTTATTTGAGGGGCCGGATCTCCTTATAGTTTAACGTCCGTCTCCGATAGGACCGAGCCAAGTGGGAAGTTCGTGTAAAGTGACTTTCCCAAGGACACAACGTCGGACCGAGCTGAGGCTCAAACCCCCAAACCCGCAATCTCTCGATTACGAGTCCAGTAGCCTAACCACTAGGCTACCGACGCCACTTGGATTTATTTGTTTGCCATATAATGATAACAACACTAGCAACTACATCAACCATGTGAAGATGATAATAATGTTAACAGTAGTTGTATCATCATCATCATCATCATCATCATCATCATCATCATCATCATCATCATCATCATCATCATCATCATCATCATTGTAGACTGCAAAAATGACAGCAACAGAAAAAGGTAGATATCTAGAGACTTATAAGATTTTCAAAAATAATATTAATCATCGTCATCATAAACATCGTCATCGTAAGAATAATAATAACCATCTCATCTCCATCATCAAATAACAATAATGTTAACAACACTAATAACAGCAGCAGCCCAGGTAAGCCCTGACAGCATAAGTCAAGCCCTCCCTTTGAACGATCCAAAACGCCTACACTATAACTATAAGAAAAAACTATAATTACGAGATTGTCTTTCTTTTTCCTCGCTCCAGGGTTGCTACAAGGCTGTGGAGGAGTACATCCTGGCGTACCGTATTACCATGCTGGTTGTTGTCTCGCTCATCGTGGTCTGTGAGGTGGGTGCATGATGCTCCAGGCGTTGTTACAGAAACTATCAGTCTAAACCCGCGGGTTTAGCTCCACCGTCAACACCATTAGGTTATCTAAGAAGAGGCAGGACCTCTGAATGTAACGTCCGTCTCGGATAGGAATGAGCCGTATGGGTTGAGAGCCTTGAAAATTCCGATAAACGACCCGAGTTCAAGGACACCCATATTGGGATTCGAACCAGGGACATCAGGTCCTTAGTTCAGCATGATGCCAATTGGGCTAACGGAGCGTCAGAGTCGTTGGATCAGTGGTTAATGTTTGTACAGCTTTGACAAGAACGACCCGGGCTCGAACCCATCCCAGTTTACTTTTGAGTAAGGTGTTAGGCAGATGTGTTTACCTCTTACTGTACGGCGCGCCATGTTCAGCTGGCATACGTCATCACTCGGTCATTTACACTCATGGCAAAGATAAACAAAATCCCCAGGAAATCCACCTCATCTATAATCAAACTGTATATTAATATGTTGCATGGAATAGTCATTTCTTCTCAGGTTGGTGTTTATTTCATACAATGTTATGTTAAATACGGTCGGAGTTAAGGGGAGCTTTGTGATGCCGAGTACTTGGACGACAAAGTTGACGGCGCACAAAGATGGGATAGCCTTTTCGTACATTAATTATAAGTTCACTATAATTCTCCACTCTGATGCATCAGGGGTGGATGTTTGTCCGTAGGTGGTGCTGCTTGCGTCTAGCCTTGAGTGGTTGGCGGGTGCTCTGGTGTGATATTTTGCTCCTTCTTTCCTTTCAAAACATATGTCGTCCGAATCTCTCCTCCTTCTTTTCTTTGTATGTTACTCTCTATAGTGACTTCTAATCTTCAGCATTTGTATGACCTATCTGTGTCTCTTATCTGACCTGGTCAACCCGACCCCTCTAGTTCAACACCCTCCCCTCCCCCTCCCACTGCCAGCCTACCCCTCCCCTTTATCCGATCTCATCAAGCCCATCCAACAACTAGTTCAACACCCTCCTGCCTCCCCATTCCCCTCCCCTTTATTCGATTTGCCCCCTACTCATCCAACTAGTTC